AAATCTTTAATAAATAAATAAAAAATTAAAAAAAAGAAAAAAAAAAAGAAAAAAATTCAAATCACTCCATAGAATAGAGTGCAATAACTTAGGTGTTTCTTCACTTGTCCTGGAATTCCAAAATATTTGAGTATTTTTTATGTACTACAATTTCTCCCCTGAAAAAAAACTTTAATTAAAAAATGCCTTAAAATTGACATTCACTTAAAACAGAGAAAATAGGGCCTTCAAAGTAGCAATGATCCTCAACCCAATATAAATGAACCTCAACCTCATTCTTTCCATGTCTTTAAACAAATATCACCACATTTAACTGGTTATTCTCTACATCTTAACACTATGATATTTCCTGTGTGAATTCGATTGAATTCCCTAAAGATAGACTCTTCCCCAGGCTTTGTGATTACGATACTCCTCATACTCAGTAAGTAAAGTGATTACACTTTTCACGCTTTCGTGACAGAAAAGTCTTGAGTTCTAAATTAATCCATGAGCTTTTGTCTTTAACGTGACATACATATCTGTTTTGTCTCATTTTTGTTTTCCTCCAGAAAGAACCCATTAAGATTCAGTGACACAGAGAGTAGGTCAAGTGACCCTCACAGAAGAGGACTCTCTTATAGGGACTGGTCCCTGGGAGTTTAACCATACTCCAGTGAGCATATGGACAATACAAAATAAACTTGGTGTGTTTTTTCTTATTTTTCTTTTTCTTTTGGGGGCAGGTGACAAAAGTGGTGGAATGAACCTGAAAGATGAGTGAAGTCACATGAACCTGAGTGGGATTGAGGTGCAACATGTGAAATTCCAAAATAATTAATAGTAATATTATGTTGGGGGAAAGTATTGCTAAAGTTAGCACCATGCATATCAATTTTGACTTCCATTTCACAATTGCAAATCGAAACATTTTTTAAATTTTATGGCATATTTTACATAGCACTCTATAATTCCTGTGGTAATCACCTTTCCTCTGAGTTGAAAGACAGTGCTTGTACTTTTGCACAGATAATTTGG